TCATTCTTACAGCCACAAATTTAAGTGTGTCTAATCCTTAAGATGAAAACCACAAACAAACCAGTCACTTTTTAATATATTCATTCTTTTTTCACTCTCTGTCTGATTAGCGATATGTTGTCAAAAGCTCCTAAAGTTTCTCCCAACGTTGCTTTCGGGAGAAAGGTTCCTCAACCTGGCCCCACCCTCACTTCAAGATACAAAAAAATCTTAAATCAATGTATCTGGCTGTGTCTACTGCTTCTACACCATCCCTCACCCTTTGTCTCGTTTCTAAGCCCTTGTTTTGAGACCCCCATGACAATAGAGACATTGCACAGTAAATTTTATGAATGTCGAATGGTTTTAATATATACAGCTGTTGTTAGTACAAAGTTACGGCCGATCTTATCTACAGCCTTCTATTGTGATATCACGAATGAAATTGCTGTTGTGGCTTTACATGATATCGGAGCCAAGCAATTTCTTGGCGAATCCGTTCAAATGTGAAAAAACAACGGACTTTAAAAAAAAAAGAAGGAACAAGTTGAGAAACCGCGAATTTAACCTTCAGTCAGTTATGTGCCATGCGTGATACACGTGTAGGCGATCATGTATCTTTTGATACATGACTGACGAGGCAGATTTTTCCCCGCAGTAGGTTGCCATTTCTTTCTGCGGTAGACCAGTTGCCATCGAAAGCTATAGAACCTGGTCTGTTCTGCTATTTAACCATAGCTGGGGGAGGAGAAGAAAAGGATTCATACCTTCACAAATCAGTCAGTTATGTGCCATGCGTGATACACGCTTAGGCGATCATGTATCTCTCGATACATGACTGACGAAGCAGATTTTTTCCCCGCAGTAGGTTGCCATTTCTTTCTGCGGTAGACCAGTTGCCATCCAAGGCTATAGAACCCGGTCTGCCCTGCTATTTACCTATAGGGTATTAGCACGTAAATGAATGTAATAGATTCGACTGGAATTCGAACTCGGCTCTCCGAATCTTCAATTCGAACCGTTATCTATTACTCCACCTTGTCTCCCCTCACTCCACCTTCCAAAAACAATAACAAATCAAATAATCTTTTTTATTCTTTTTTACTGATCGAGAGAAACCTATTCTTTCTAAAACACGAAACAATACTGGCCCGCGCAGGCAGAAAATACGTTCATTACCCTTTTCGCTTTCTCGTCTTGAGTGGACATGTTTCTTTCTCTCTTCATAGAAAATTCATCTTTATTCTGTGATTGTCTGCCAAAATTAACAGGACCCCCCACCATGATTCTCCTGACAGTCTTAATTAAACTTTTCACTTATCAGAGACCACGACGAGAAGACAATCTTTGGTATTATTACTCCATTTGACGCTTCATCTTTTAAGACTTCTTTCATGTTTACAATAGAGAAATAAAAAAGACCTATTTTCTCTCGAATAGAAAAGCAATAACAGCAGGCTAATAAGAAACCATTTTCCCAGCAAAAAAAGTAAAGAAAAAGCGAGCTACACAGATGATAGCATTCTTAGCTACTCGTGTAACATAAGCGATTCCATATTTATACACAGGGGAGTTTTCCTGTTCCCTACCGAAGTCAAGAAAAATCAAGCCATATTGAAATGTGGTCGTGTGGTTAGAACATTCGCTTTCGGATGATGAGAAACGAGTTCGAATCACACCAGAGTCGATTTGTAACTTCTTGATGTTATTGGTCTAAAAGAGGCGATCCCAGCGAGCGGTACCTTTGGAAAGTGCTTGAAACGCATAACACGTGTTGCTGACTTGTGAGTGAAATTGAGTAAACCTTGGGAACCGAAATCATAAGTCATCGTGACCGAGTGTTTGAATGTGCTGACCTTGTCCAGACTGTTGATCAGGCTAGATGACGCGCTCTCTCCCAGAAACTGTAACTAAGATCCGCTCAGCATAGTTGTACTATAAACCACAGGTGGGTGTTGAGCAAACTCAAATGTGCCTGAGCAAGCGTCTTCAATAGGGATTAACTAGCCGCCATAGTAGACTGGCATCCTCGGGTTCGAGTGGCTGCGCCATTTATTTTACATATGTATACTTCTGAATTTTTTTTTCATCATTTATGTGTCGTGGCTCTCCACAACTTCCCGTCTCTTCTATTGTTTAACTCCTTACGATCCATTTTTATCCCTGTTTTCCATCCATTCACACAAACTCATTAGTTAGGCTACTCATTGTTCCAATCTGTCCCTCTTGTTTTAAGCATGGCCAGTGAGTGTTAATTTTTCCAAGCCCTCTTTCCTCATAATGTGTTCCAAAGATTTCAACTGTTTTTCTGATTTTAAATATAAGAGGATTTTAATATGTCATTTTTGGGATGAGTAATTGTTAATATTCTTTTTAAAAAAGCTGACCAAGTGTGTCGTTATTCAAAGAAGAAACATTTTTACGCAATTTTGGGTTATATGTCAGTGAATGCGGAACAATGTCCTTACAGATAAAGAAGGGCCTCGAAGTGACAGAGAAGTGATTCCACAAATGAATCCTGAGAATACCAGGGACGGAACACGCGAGTAATTAGGAAGAACTTACAAAATAAATGGACAATTATTCTTGTATTATTTCGAACTATTGTTGTCATCTTGGTTGGCATAGACAACAACGTTTCAACCAATAACTTTCTGGTCATGATCAGGTGTCCATTGATTGGCTGATATAGGATATCTTTTGATTATTACGATATTTTGCCCCTGTAATGTCAGTTATTGTTCGTTCCTGTTGAATTGGTGATTCACTATCTGATCCAAGGATTGAACTCGTGACCAGAAGATGACAGTAACTCATTTATAATCAAATCCACTATACCACTATTCCGAATGAAATTAGAGACATGCTTTTCAGAGCCTTTAGTATCTTCCTCAATGAAAGGCATATGACCTAAATATTAACAGTGCAAAGAAATCTTGGGCCAAATTTCGGCTGAGAATGTTACCTCAAATTGAAAGGCATGAAATTATCATTTCCCCTTTCAGCTATGGATTAAATAGCATGGCAGATTGAGCTGTTTTGCTTTTGAGGGCAATCGGTCTAAAGAGAAGATAAGAAACCACTTCACTATCTTTCCAATTGCACAGATATCAATAAAAAGGTAAAATAAAATAAAAATTTAAAAATGTTGAAATAATATAAGATAAAAAGGGTACAATAAAAATATAAGGGAAAGATCAATTCAGTGGGGCCAGAATTGTTTCATCTGGAATCGAAAATGCTATCTATCTCAATCTGTTAATATCTATCTATCTATCTATCTATCTATCTATCTATCTATCTATTTCAGTCTATTCATATCTACCCTTTTATATATATTCCTATATGTTTATCAGTCTGTCCATATCTATCTATCTATCTATCTTTATATATATATATATATATGTGTGTGTGTGTGTGTGTGTGTGTGTGTATACTAGTCTGTTCATATCCATCTATCTATCTATCTATCTATCTATCTATCTATCTATCTATCTATGTAAATAGGAACTGAGGTAAATTGATAGACGATAATCTTTTTCTGTCTATCTACGTAGGTTGAAACAAGCGCATAGATACATAACATGCTTAGATAGATAGATAGATAGATAGATAGATAGATAGATAGATAGATAGATAGATTACTTTTATCCATTTGATTACATCAATCCATAGCTATGGAGCGGCTTTGTGGTTGATCAATTATTTTCCACCCAACAATCCCATTGCCACAGGCTAAACATTACAAACCTATCGCTACTCTATCGCTATTTCCATGGCAAATGTTCAGACGAGCTACATTCCTTAGTCCCACTCGTTCTCTACCTACATAGCAAGGGCCCAACATGCCACGCCCATTGTAGCAAATCACCCTCATGTCCTTTGTATTCCATTAGTGAGATGTAAGTTTCATTCGAATAGCTTTTTTCCCACGAAACTCTACCTTGTGGAATCGACCCCCAAGAGATTTTTTTGCCTGACCGTTACAACCCTAACCTGTTCAAGTCTAGGGTAAACCGTTACCATTCCCCCATATCCTCATAAACTCCGCCTCTTACCTTTTACCGCTCACACAACAAACTCCATAAACCCTCTATCTCGAGTGGCCCCTGGGTCTTTTATAAAATGAACATTAGTAAAATATACACCTATATATATAATCGACTCTCCCGTCGCGTTCGACGTATGAGGGTCAGGCCGATAAGTCCCCAGGAAACCGACATCCCGACACCGGCACATGAGATTTGATTATAGTGGTGAAGGCCTCGTGCAGGACCAGCCACACTTTTTTGAGGGACGAATACAGAAACCTGGTGCACCGAATGCATGCCACAAGGTTCCCAAACGACCCTCCGCAGGTTTTGAATTCAGAGTTGTCCTTCTCCTAGACCAGTTGCCATCCAAGGCTATAGAACCCAGTCTGTCCTACTATTTTACCCATAGCTGGAGGGAGATGAAGAGGATACATACCTTTCCCAAGGGTATTAGCACGTAAGTGAATGTAATGGATTCGACTGGAATTCGAACTCAGCTCTGCGATTCCTCAATCCAAGCCGCTATCCACTGCTCCACCGTGCCTCCAATATCATCTATATATCTCTCTCTCTCTCTCTCTCTCTCTCTCTCTATCTATCTATCTATCTATCTATATATATATATATATATATATATATATATATATTTTTACACGTACTATTTTATTATGTACAGATATATTTTGTTCATGTGAACATCGTGTTGGGTAAATCATTGTGACTTGGAAATCTTAAGAATCAGCATTTTGAACTTGACTAAAGAAATTGACTTAAATTCATTGTGCCTAGCGAGTAAGCATAGAGATAGATGACAAAGTACCCTAAGGAGGGTTTAGGATGATCACGCCACGAGAGTCTCGGCATCTGCCCACAAGGGTCCTCCTTTCTCCCGTGAAACCACTTGAGACTACGTCGAAAATATCAATTACAATCGGGACAAAAAGGAGAAAAAAATGCGCTGATTGTTCTTTACGATAAAGATTTAATTTAGTGGAGGTTATGGTCGTTGTGGGGTCTGAATTGTTGGGAGTGGTTTGGTTGAATGGCGGGAAATGATGATGGGAAGGGAGGAATAGGTGGATGCGGTGCGTTCACATTCATCATGTAGAGGATATTATGTGATAGAGAAGAAGAAGAAGAAGGAGGAGGAGGAGGAGGAGGAGAATACAAAGAAGTAAAAGAAGAAGAAGGAGAAGAAGAAGAAAAACGAAGAAGAAGAAGAAGAAGAAGAAGAAGAAGAAGAATAAGAAGTAAATAAGAAAAAGGAAAAGAAGGAGAAGAAAAAGAAGAAAAAAGAAGAAGGAGACGACGAAGACAAAGAAGAAGGAGCAGGAGGAGAAGAAGAATGCGAAGAAGTAAATGAAGAAGAAGGACAAGAAAAAGGAAAAAGAAGGAGACGAAGAAGAAGAAAAAAAGCGGAAGAAGAAGAAGAAGAAGCAGAAGAAGAAGAAGAAGAAAAATAAGAAATTGTGAAAATATGTAGAGGAAGGCAAACAAATAAAAGTTATGAGAAATAAATAAATAAAGAAAGAAAGAAAGAAAGAAGGAAGGAAGGAAGGAAGGAAGGAAGAAAAAAGAAATAGAAAGAATGAAAGATGAAAGAATCGTGAAATAGAGAGGTAACTGAGCAGAAGGAAAGAGAAAACAAAGAAAGTGTCCAGGAAAGAAAGATAAACGAAAGAAAGTAAAATAGGAAAAAGAAGAAAAATGAGAAATAAGAAAAATTTAAATCCTTTAGAAATAAGAGACGTTGCACCTTAACGTAGAACACCAACTAAGATATATATATATATATATATATATATATATATATATATATATATATATATATATATAAATGTTTTCTTTTGATCAGATATTCATAATAACGACACGATAGGACACGTGTGCTTTGAGTCACACTCGAGGCACCTGGTGCAGCAAATTGTGGGTGGAACGGAAAAGAGAAAGCATGAGTGATTGCAAGGACGAAGATAAGAGGGACAGGGAAAAGAAAGAGAAAGTTTAAAAAAAAAAAAGAGCAAGAAACTGGAAAGGGGGGATTTTGAGAAAATAGTAAACTGGCGAGAAGAAAAATGGAGAGTAAGGCTAGTTATGCTGGGGAGAGTAAGAATCACTCTTACTGGTTAGTGAAATTGGAAATGCAAATAATATATTTGATGTATGGAGAGCAAACCAACAAAAACGATGCGTTGAAAAAAAAAAAAAGATAAAGATACTCGTCTAAATAAATCATAGATTAATAAATCGTTGTTATGTTGTATAAAAATGCAGTTCAACATTTCGAAGACTGCGAATCACAGTTTATATATTTTTAAGATTGAATGATTTGTTTAATACATCAACACCTTCATGGGTCATTAAACGCCAAAAATTTACTTGGGAGTTTTGAAGTAATAAAAATATGAAATATGTTATTCTGCTTTCACAATTTAATACATGGTAGATGATGAATGTTGGACGATTTCCTCAAAGATGAAGAAGAGACTCGAGGCGACAGAGATGTGGTTCTACAGAAGGATGCTAAGGATATCATGGACCGAGCGTATGAGTAACAATGAGTTCTTCAATAGGTTGCAAACAAGGAGTCTTATATTTAATATCAGGAAGAGGCAGCTAAAGTTTCTGGGACACATAATGAGGAAGGAGGGCCTGGAGAATCTGATACTCACGGGTCGAATCGAGGGGAAGAGAGACAAGAGAAAACAACGCGTGATATACCTGGCAGACTTAAGTGGATGACAGAATGTGGTCTGGGGGAGGAAGCAGAGGGAAGGAACTTGTTGAGAGCTTCAAGGGATAGAAGGAGGTGGAGAGCCATGATCGCCTACACCCTGAAAAGGAGATGGCACATAAAAAGAAAGAAAGATGATACTTAGCTTTCATGCATATACATGCTTGTGTGGACATGAGTACGAAGGCGGTGATATGTGGGTTTTATGCTGTAGTTTTGTTGAAGTTATATTTTGGAATACAGTTTGATTTCTTTAAGAAATTGTTGGCTATTATACAGATTAATCTTCAGAAATAGTTCCTTTCATGTTCGTTGATTGCTTCCTTGGTCGAGTTTATTCATCGGCATATTAAAAACTCTATGGTTATTTAACCCTTTGCCTGTCCTGCGCATCATATGTGATGCAGAGGATATGTGATTTCTTCTACGTCCGTGTATCCTATGTGGTGCACACAAGCCATGATTTTAAGAGAATGGTAAAATTAAGGACGCCTTTTTTTTTCTTTTTTTTTTTTTTTAAGCATTTCACCTCAAGCAAGGCGGGAAGCAAGGGGTTACAGATGATTCGGGGCGAGAGCAGATAGGAGTGATACAGGAAAGTATGGGGAGAAGGATAGAGGATAGATCAAGGCAACTGGAGATGTCGATTGACATTACATTTGAATAGTTGGAGATTATAGCTATCAGGGGAACAGGAAAAAGGAAGGGAGTTCCACAGGTGAGAGGTGCGAGATATTAAGCTATTGGAGTAGAAGAGACGGCTACATTTAACAGTTTCAACAGTGAAAGGGCGAGAGCGGGATGCCAGCCTCGTAGGACGCTTGAATTCATGAAGTCTGGGAACCAGCGAATGCAGCTCCTCGGAGCAGTTACCATGAAAGTATTTGTAAAAAGACAGAGAGAGACGACGGCACGTCTGTGAGAAAGTGACTGTAGACGAGATGCCAGATCAGGACCAATTATATTGCATATCCGTCTCTGGATCTTATCAAGAACCCCGAGACAAACAGGAGGGGCTCCAGACCATGTATGGCAGCAATACCCCATGCAAGGGAGAATGGTTGATTTGTAAATCTGAAGGATCGATTACGGGGAGAAAAATTTCCTTGCGGTGGGCGAAGCAATTGACTCAATGTATTTGTTCCATCTCAGGTCAGCAGTCAATGTGAGACCGAGCAGTCGCAAAGAGGTGCTCTCGAGAAGTTGAGCGTCAGATATTCTAATGGAGGTGGGGAGTGCAGGGAAGGATCTCTGCGGTGATTAAGAAAAATGTCTACTTTGTGATGTTCCGAGCGTAGTGGAAATAATAATTTGTACGTTTTTATTATGGGAAATACTATATATCAGCACACTCTATTTGGCAAATAAGCAAAGCTTCCTTGGAATAGTTATAATTTTGAAAACAAACATAAACATTTGGATGGTACACATGAAAATGCCGTGGACAGGCAAAGGGTTAATGACAAAAAATAATTACTTTTTGTCATTAAAAATCCTTCATCATAACTTATGATTTGTACGTTCTGTGCATCACATGTGATGCAAAGGTTTTTATTATGTCAAACACTTCATATCAGCAGATTCTATTTGCCAAATAAGTTGAGTTGCCTTGTAATAGTTATAAACCTGAAAACAAGCATAAACGTTTGGATAATACACACGAAAATGCCCTGGACAGGCAAAAGGTTAAAATGATGTTTTTAAGACTGTCTTTATAATTATAATGCTCGATATCAAGAACTAAAGCATTAATAATAATAAATACAATTATATGTTAACTTATCTTGTCTGGACATCACTGATTCCCAATGTGGGCCGCATGCCTCACCAGTGGGGTACACGATAATATTTTGGTGGGGGATGCGTAGGATGTGCACCCTTCGGCTTACTATACCAAACAGAATAAGGGAGCAATTCGAGAATTAGTTATTAACAGTGAATTGTTTTCTAGTGTGTCTAAGTGAGAATGTTTATGTTAATGCGTGTTAATACATACGATGCATATACAGTATGCATAGATACAAATATTTTGTGTGTATCGATTAGTGTAGTTCTTTAAGCCTTTGCCTGTCCTGCGCATCATATGTGATTGATAGAACATTGGATTTCTACGTGCGTCTATCATATGTGAGTCACACGAGCCATGCTTTTAAAAGAATTGTAAAACTTAGGACGCTTAAGAAAAGAGTCTACTATTGAGCAGGATGTCTGAGGAAAGACCTAATCTAATGTTTTGGGTATCATATATGGCCACAGGATACTTAACTGTTTTCAGATTTATAACTACTGCAAGGCAACCTCAGCTTATTTGGCAAATGGAATCTGCTGATATCTATCTATCTATCTCTCTCTCTCTCTCTCTCTCTCTCTCTCTCTCTATATATATATATATATATATATATATATATATATATATATATATATGAGGAGGACGGTGCACTTCCCAGAGTGCCCGTCTACGAAACACTGTAGTCAAAAGTCAAGAGTGAAGTAAAAAATGTCAAGCCTATTACTTATATTAATAGAAATACTGAAAGAATAACAAAAAAAAAATCAAGAAATACACTATTGGGGCTCACGGCCATTCATTTGTGATACCCGCTATATTATCAACATTTCCTTTTTTCTTTCTACAGACATTTATATATTGGGTGTGATAGATGAATTCTTGTCTAAATTACGCAAAAACGAAAATAACAGACATCTCATTTTAACAGATATATTTACGAAAATTACACAAAAATATCTTAAAGAGTAAACTTATTCAATAAAATCGCCATTGGCTTCAACCACGTTCTCCAGACGACTTCGGAATCACCTGAAACTCTTCTGGATGCTCTTTTTGCTTAAGTTGGTGAATGCTGCCATAATCCTTGCCTTCAGCTCATCTTTGGTGTTACAAGGAGTTTTATTTGTCTCTTGCTCAACTGCACCCCGCATATAATAATTAAGGGGGTTGTAGTCTGGGGATTTAGGTAGCCGGATATAAGGGGGTGATGTGGTTAAGGGTAAATGTTGAACAAAACTGCTCCTACCACCGCATAACTTCAACTTCCTTATCTTCGCTACTCAATTTGCTATAACTGATCATACATCGAGCTATTTTGTTTAGTGTTTGACTAATAACTAATTGTAATATACAGAGTGTTGCAGAAAAATCCGACACTTGACAAAATAAAAACAAAACGATGTATATGCAGATACTTGACAGTTTGACAACTAACTAACGTTTTTCTCTCTGCCCTTTTCCAGGATGGAATATGAGCGCAGAGCAGCGGTAGTAGCTTCTTTTCCCGCCGGGAAGAAGCCTGCGGAAGTGATGGCCTGGTTTGCGTTCAAGAGGGCCATGGTCATGGACGTTTGGAGGAAGTGAAAGGCATGTGAGAACAAGGACGAGTTTACTGCTAAACGAAAGGCCTACAACGTTCGTTCTTCGGCCGTTAGGTCCGACAAGTTCGTCGCCACCGTCATGGAGACAGTCGACAATGATGGAAGCCAGAGATACGCCAAGATCGCCGCTGACATGGGCTGTCAAAAGTCGATGATCTGCTGAACGATCAAGAAGGGCGTTGGTTACTCCTCCTGTCGCAAGTCTCACCGCATGCTCAACAAAAAGAATCGAGGAAGGTCAAGCCAGCGGCTTTGCTGAACGAGCTCAAGCACGGGTCCACCGGGATGCTGAGGTTCTTCTCTGATGAAAAGAATTTCATCCAGGACCAGACGAGCAACAGGCCGAACGACGGGTGGATCTGCAAAGACATCGGGGATGTTCCCGTCGTGAAGCATACGAAGTTTCCCTCCTCCGTGATGGTCCTTGGCGTCATCTCCAGAGAAGGGGACGTCATGCCTCCGTTCTTCTTTCAAAAGATCCTGAGAGTCATCGCTGAGATCTACCATGAAGTGCTGAGGAGCGTGGTGAATCTCTGAATAGACGAAATCGCCCCTGGACGCTCCTACGTCTTCCAGCAGGACTCCTCTCCTGCACACAAGACCAAGACGACCCAGGCGTGGCAAAGACATCGAGGAGTTTCCCGTTGTGAAGCATACAAAGTTTCCCTCCTCTGTCATGGTTCTTGGCGTCATCTCCAGCGAAGGGGACGTCATGCCTCCGTTCTTCTTTCAAAATAGCCTGAGATTCATGAGATCTACCAGGAGGTGCTGAGGTGCGTGGTGAAGTCCTGGATGGACGACATCGCTATCGGACGCCCGTACGTCTTCCAGCAAAACTCCGAGACCCAGACGTGGCTGCTCAACAATGTTCCTCACCACTAGTCGCCGGACTTGTGACCGCCCTCCTCACTCGACTGCAACCCCATTGACTATTTCTTCTGGGGCGTGAACGAGGCTAAGATCAACAAGCACGCCTACAACACGGTCGACTCTCTAAAGGCTGCCATGGTGGGGGCGTTCGCCGCTATGGACAAGGACATGGTCGCCAAAGCGTGTGACTCATTTCGAGCCCGCCTTGAGATGATCGATGGCGGTTACATTGAAAAATAATGTAGTATGTAACTCTAATTGTTGCTAAATAAACTGTCAGGCCCCTGCATATACAACTTTTGTTTTTATTGCCTATTTCGTTTTCTTTTTGTCAAGTGTCGCATTTTGCTGCAACACCCTGTAGTCATAGACTAGTAAGAGTAATATAGATTACTAATATTAATTTAGTCATAGACTATCTCATTAATTATTGCACAGCAGCGGGGGGTTTTGTATACATACTGTCTGGTTTATTTATCGAGTGTTCGAAAGAATGCTTTTGTGAACAAACAGCCAGAAATCTGTGTCGGCGAAAAGAAGACAGCAGACGCCGTCAAGAAATATGGTTCACGTAACTCAACTGTGTTGATCGGCTGTACTTGGGGAGATTACCATATTGTTATCGCCAAAGAAAATCTGCAAAGCGACTTGGCCAGGAGTAGAGAGATACGGCACACAAAACTGACAAGCAAACTTTCTGGGGCCATTTTGGCACGGCTAAACGCTGCCCGATTGCCACAGGCCTCGACCTCTATCTTAAGATGACTTTCGTCTTTTTCACGCTTACACAGGAACTCCTTATCCTAAAAGTATTTACCATTATCATTGTTTACGCATTTACATCAATCCAGGTGGGGATCATCTCTGGGGATCAAGTGGCAACAAGTCTTTTCAGTTCTTCAGCACTCATCTTAGATTTCACATAGGTTTGATTGTGAATAAAGAACAGATGGACACATGGCACAGTGGATAAAGGCGTTAGTTAGATCCAGTAACAGGACCCAAAGAGTGTGAGTTCAATACCCAGTTAAGGCATTGAAGAACTTGGAGAGGGGAATTAACAGGAGATAACTGATATCCATTAAACATGGCACGTGGAACTAGAACAGTCTACCCCAGTGAACGAAATAAAGGGTTCAGTTCGGCATTCCAACTACCTGAAGAAGGCTGGAGCGTACGACGGCCGAAACGTTGTAATAAATATGGCGACAAAGATGAAAACAATAATTCGAATAATGTAAATAGTGTGAATAAAGAATAAATAAGAATCAAGCAGAATCAATATATATTATGTGTCCTTCCCTTCAAAACGTGGAAGATCATGTCTCTCCATAACTTTACACAAGCCTGTGACCTTCTGTTCCTCTTGCCTTAATTATATCTTGTGAGTGTCAATTTTTCCAAACCATCTTTCCTCATTATTTATCCTAAAAATTTCAATTATCTCTTTCTGATGAACTCTTCGCAATGGTACCTAAACTTTATGAATTGAAGTGCACTACTAGATTGGTGGTAAGGTCCCATCAATTCCTAGTTGAAATGACTGAATGTAACCGTAAGTTCTATGCTAGAAGTTTCTTTTCTCGTATTTCAGCCCGTCCTGTGTATGGCGATAAACTACCGTCCAACGGCAAGGCCTCAGATCAGGAGGTTTTGAAGTGCGTGCTGCTGGTGTTCCAAGGTCCACCGTGACCCGGGGTGGTAGCAACTGTTAGGGTCCCAACAATGGGCAAATAGTTAACCCCCAAACTGGTGTCAAAGCATTATAAAAGTGTAAAATAGGTTTTAATACCACCAATAAATTTTTGAAGAAAAAATTATTATCAGCGATACATTTTAAAGAAAAAATATTACCAGTAATAAATTTTTGAAGGAAAAAATATTACCAGTAATATATTTTTGAAGGAAAAAATATTACCCGTAATACATTTTGAAGTAAAAAATATTACCAGCAATACATTTTTGAAGAAAAAAAACATTACCAGTAATACATTTTTGAATGAAAAAATATTACCAGTAATACATTTTTGAATAAAAAAAATTTACCAGTAATACATTTTTGAAGGAAAAAACATATTACCAGTAATACATTTTTGAAGGAAAAAATATTACCAGCAATACATTTTTGAAAGAAAAAAATATTACCAGTAATACATTTTTGAATGAAAAAATATTACCAGCAATACATTTTTAAAGGAAAAAATATTACCAGCAATACATTTTTGAAGAAAAACATCAGCAATACATTTTGAATGAAAAAATATTACCAGCAATACATTTTTGAATGAAAAAAATATTACCAGTAATTCTTTTTTGAAGGAAAAAAAATATTACCAGTAACACATATTTGAAAAAAAAAAATTATCTGCAATACATTTTTGAAGGCAACACATATTACCAGCAATAAGTACCTTGTCGGTAATAAATAACCCATCGATGTTAAAAGTCCGTAAAACAAAACAAACCAAACCAAACGCACTTGTTCTGTTGAATTAAAATTCTTTTTCTGATAACACCGATACATCGGGAAAACATTTCGAAATAAAGAAATTTCAAATTGTTTTTAAAATATAACATTCTGTCACATTTTCACCCAACTTTACTCACGCACAGAGACACACAAAGGCACACACACACATATATATATATTTATGAATCGGAGAAATTTTAGCATATATATATACAGAGAGATTGAAAAGTAACTCCCCATTTTATGTATGATGGACTCACCCGTCTAACTATAATTTTTACAAGACACAAGAGGTTACAGGCTGTGAAAGAATTAGGAACAGAAACATTAATAATGAGCGGAAAGAGAAAAGAGTAATCAGGAGGACAGTACTTAGCGATTGACATTTCATTTAATATATATATATATATATATATATATATATATATATATATATATATATATATATTAAATATTAGTGTTTAATATATATATATAAACATTAGTGTTTAATATATATATATAATATATATATATGTAAATATTAGTGTTTAATGTATATATATATATATTATATTAAATATATATATATTTATATATATATATATTATATTAAATATATATTTATATATATATATTATATTAAATATATATATATTTTTTATATATATATATATATATATATATATATATATATATATATATATATAGGTTAGATGAATTCGTTCGTATTTTCCAATGTTATTTGAATTAAGGCACAAAATATATTACCGTAGTGTTTCATGTTTTTTTGTAGTTCATTTCTCACTCTACAACTTTGGTTTAATATAATTTGATTTGTTAAAATTGTTGATGAATAATGGGATTAAAATAAATGAAAAAAGACGAAAGAATTTATGTGACAACCCAATATCTATCTATCTATCTATCTATCTATCTATCTATCTATCTATCTACTTTATGTTCATCATCTATCATTTTATGTTCATTACCTATCTATCTATCTATCTATCTACTTTATGTTCATCATCTATCATTTTATGTTCATTACCTATCTATCTATCTATCTATATATATATATATATATATATATATATATATATATATATATATTAAAAAGAAGAGGGGTGCCGCAAACGTTTTTTGGTTGTAATGTGGATTTATTGAAAAAATATTATACTTTGTTTTTCTAGATTTCAACAAAATTTCTGGTCTGGTCTCATAAACGTCTTCAGAGAATATTGGAGATTTTTACACATGAAGAAAAATAATTAATTTTTTCTTCATATTCAATAAAATATTCTCGATTTCACATTCTGACGGTTGCGAGACCAGACCAGAAACACTTTCTAGAAATTATGTTAAACAAAGTATAATATTTTTTCATGAATAAATCCACATTACAACCAAAAACGTTTGCGGCACCCCTCTTCTTTTAATATACATACTTTTCTTTTGGAACCACTACAACATATTTCTTTTATATATATATATATATATATATATATATATATATATATATATATATATATATATTTTGTGTGTGTATGTGTTTAAAATTTCAGATATAATTAAATATTATATCTGTAAATGTACAATATGAATAAAGACAAACGGAAAACATATCTTAGCCAACGCGTTTTGT